GTGTGTGTGTGTGTCTCTCTCTCTCTTCCTTCATCTCTGAAATCAATAAAAATATACATTTTTTAAAAATTACATGATACTGTACAAGAGCATCAGGTACATGTGTGGTTAAGTGGAAGCATCTACGGGTGTAATTAAATAATGGCTGGCAGAAGCAGTGATGGCAGTAAAAGTGCCCAGGTGGGCGGGCCATAGAATTTAGGAGTGCAAGGCACACAAAAATGGTAGTTGGGATATTGTAATTCAGAGCAGCCATTGATATTCTCAAGAAAATTAAGAAAAATGAATAAATAATAACTGGCATAACTTGAGAAATTTATTGTGGGATAATCAGGACCTCAGTATTGGAAGATAATTATAAAACTGTTGGGGTGAAAAGAAAATGAATGTGACCAATATTACTATAGCCTCAACAGTACAAAGAATAACTTAGAATTGAAGATGAGGAGAGTGGCTAGAGCATAAGGTTTGCATTAGATACAATTGGTTGTTTTTTTTTTTATCTCATTTCTGGAATTTATTAAGTACATAACTTGAACTCCATCTTATTCTCGGTCTCTTTATCTACCATATGGAGGAAATGATTGCATCCACATTATAGAGTTGTCATTACAAGTAAACAAGCCTGCAAAGTACTAAACGGGCATAGCACATAGTAAGCATAAGACAAATGGTACATATTTACTTATTTTTATCCTATTATTCAAGGGTAGTTTCGTTTCACATTTTCATAAGGACTTGGATATTTCTTGCTAATTTTGAGCTAGTTAATCCAGTGAAACAGCTTTGAACCCACTTGGAGCTTTTTTTAGCCTTGTCCAAACATTCTGCAGGGTTTCTTTGCTCAGGAAACCACAAGGGCATGTAATTAAAATAGTCTGTACAAGCAAAATGATGATCCTAATATTTAAATATTTTAAAGTTACTTTAATTACAAATAAATTCATAGAACTTTTGGCCACTGTTCCATGGACCAACTGTCGACTTTTTCCTATTAGTCCTGGCAGGGATTTCACACCACTTTCTGGTGTTCCCACATATAAGCCCCAAATTAATCATGTCTACAGTTACTGCCTGTGTAGCCAGGGGCAGCTGCAGATGAATTCTCTCTCTAGAGGAACATTGTGCACAAGAACTAATTGTATTATAATATCATGGTAAATGGTAATGTCAAAAGCAAGTTATCCTTTAAAGGATGCTTAAGATCCCTAGATTGGAGTGGATGTGCTATGCTGGTAGAAGGTGCTTTCTCGAGGCAGTAACAGATTTGCACTATATTTTCTAGATCGTGACTCTGTTCCCTATTTGTGGTACTTAGACACAGTATTATTTATTCAATTTGTTCAACAGACCCCATGTTATATCAGAGATTCAATAGTGAGTGAGAATCAGATGGTGGTCTCTTCCTTAATAAAGCTCAGAATCCAGGGGAGGGAGTACATATTAATCAAATATCAGCCACTGAAAGGAACATTATAACTGTGATGAGTGTTATGAAGGAAGGGTATGAGGAGGTGGTGATGAGAAAGCACCAACAGGAGGACTTTACTTAGCTTGGAAGAGGAGCAAAGATGAGAGAAGTCTTTCCTGTTGGGAGTTGTCTTGGGATCTGAAGGATGAGTTGTATACCAGCCAGGGTGCCTGCAGGAGAGAGATGGCATGCATGACAGGGCGGTTTAGGAGAGTTAAATAATGGGACTCTTTACAAAGATGTGGGCAGAGGTAAGGGAGCCAACATGGGATGGTGAAGCACCCTGGCACTAGCAAGAGTAGGCATCTGTTACCACCACTAGGCATAAAGGGGCAAAAGGAAGAGGTCATTACTAGAAACCTGAGAGATGGAGATACCTGTAAGAGATGGAATCCCAACAAGAGCTGTGGCTTTTTTTTTTCCGGGGTGGAGGCACTACCCATCTGTTGTTTCTTCCAGGAAGGAAGAAGCCAGGAGAGTAAGTCATCTGACCTCACTCTTCTCACTCCTTCTGGCCTCTTGTTGTCTTTGCTCTTGACTGATCCCAACTAGAGTCCAAAGGAATCCCATTGCTGTAGTCCATACAGGTCAGCCTCTTGACAAAGAGCAAGATGGAGAAGGGTGGAGACTAGATCTGGAGAAGCAAATTGAAAAGATCTGGCAAAATGAGCATTGTAATAGTTTCAACAATAAAGATTTTTAAAAAATACATCAAAAGAGTGAACATTGAGTAGACAAAATAAAAATTACCATAGACAGATACCACAGAGTGTAGTGAGCATCCCAGGCAAAGGGAACACCATATACGAGGGCCCTGTGGCAGAAAGGAGCACAGAGGCCTGTGTCAGGGCAGAAGGCTGCCTCAGGTAGTCAGAGGAGGGACCCAAGGGACATGCTTGGATCAAAATCAATGAGAAAGGGCAGCGATCGTGAAGAGAGACAGGGTAGAAAGTGTATTGTCTGTGAGGTGACTTGGAGGCCAAGAAAAAAGAACTAGGTCAGGGAGCAGAAGATGAGGTTGGATGAAACAGTTCAGGATATAAGGCAAGGGCATCCTGAACTCATCCTCTCTGAGTGCAAAGTCTGTGATAAAGAACACTCCCAAAGTCCGAATGACTGGCAAAGTCATAAGCCTTTTCCAGAGACATTTCTTGGTGAGGTTGGAATTAGGCGACTGCCATATTGAGTCATCCCACTCAGCCATTTAGTCAACAAATATTTATTAATGGTTTTAATAATAAATTAAAACCATTAACACCAGTGTGCTAGGTGTTAAGAGACAAATGAGGTGATTCTTGTTTTTTGAGAGCTCAGAGGCCAAGTAGAGAAGATAAACATCTAAGGGAATATTTGCAATATCCTATAGTAACTGCTATTTCCAGGTGCCAGAGAGCCCAACCTAGACTTTCTGGGGATGTGAGGTAAAGCTCCCCTGAGATGTGGTATCTGAGCTGGGTCTTGAGTCCCCAGGTAGAAAACTGAGAGGAGGTGCATCTTTTTTGGTGGTCATGGATTGTACTCTCCAACTTACAGCCTCCATTCCCTAAATAGCAGTCGTAGGTGTTCTTGCAATGGACCAGGGATCATCAAAGATGATGCATTTCCTTGGGAGGATGAGGAGAAGTGAATATTGGTATTTCTAAAAGTGTAGACAGCCTGACAGCAAATTCCGGAGCCTGGGTGACATTTTAAATTGATAAGGCTCCTAATTACCAAACCCTAGGAAACCATATGGAATCCAGCCACAGCTCTAGAATTAATAGAAGCGAGCACTGTGAGCCCATTGCTAGCAGCATGTTCTCTTCAAATAATGGCACAGGATCTGTGTCAGCACAGTGTGAGGTTGCAGTTAACACACATACGCACAACCTCGTGATATTTCCTATGTTTCAGAAAAATTTCCCAGCTATGGAAGTAAAAACAAAACAAAAACTTAGCTAAGTTTTCCTACAAAAAGTAGAATTTTGTCTCCTTGTCAAACATTGCCTACTGGTATTGCTGTGTTAAAATGTCATATTTGTGAAGATGAATTGAGGTAAGCGATGTGTGATTTTATGGAACATGAGCTTGGAGGGCAGAAGTGTCCAGATTCAACTCTTAACTCCTGTACTTCCTGCAACATGAACTTGGGCTGGTCTTCAGTGTCTCTGACTTTCAGGTTTGTCGTCTATAAAGTAGGCATACTAATGCTGTCTACTCATGTGTTTGTTGTAAGGATTTAGTCAAACTAAATGGCTTGCTCAGAGCTAGTTCTAAAAGATGCTGAGAAGAAAAGTCACTGGTGAGACAGAAAGACAATAACCTGAAATTTAATGATCAGACAAGGCCCCAGCTTCCGCAGTATTTGGGGAGAAGGGCCCAATGTGTACCCTGCATCCTTGCCTGTCAGCATGTAGGTCTAAGTGTCGGACTTTTTGTACCAGTGAGTGATCGTTTTCTTGACTTCAGTCCCGAGGCTGAGCATAGAGAATAAAAGAAAAGTATCTGTTAATTCCATCTGTCCACTGCCTTAATACTCTCCATATAAACCTCCCAATTTTGTGGAGGGAACTGGTAAAACAACAACAACAACTCACTTTTGGATTTCTAAAGATTTTATGTTCAGTTATTTCTGAAAATTTTACATATTTTATATGTATATTAATGGTTTTAATAATAAATAAATTAAAACCTTAACACCAGTGTGCTAGGTGTTAAGAGACAAATGAGGTGATTCTTGTTTTTAATATATATATACTAGAGGCCCGGTTCATGACATTCATGCACTGGGGTGGGGTCCTTCAGCCCAGCCCGCGCCTTCTCGCAGTCTAGAACCTCTCGGGGGATGTCTGCGGGCCTAAGTTGGCAGTCAGACATCCTGCGAGGGCTCCTTAGCGCTGCCACAGAGGCAGGAGAGGCTCCTGCCACCACCACTGCACTCACCAGCTGTGAGCCCAGCTTCTGGCTGAGTGGTGCTCCCCCTGTGGGAGCGCACTGATCACCAGGGGGCAGCTCCTGCGCACTGATCACCTGAATGACAGCAACCAGTCATTCTGCTGTTCAGTCAGTTTGCATGTTAGGGTTTTATTATATAGGATATACAATGTAATATATAATGATATATATAATTCTAATAATTGTTGGAGACAGTGTTTGCTTTGTTCATGCTGACTGACTTGGTAAGCAAGCTCATTCACAACACTCTACTTTTCTTGGCTCTAAACATCCTAAAAATAACCCATGCTACAGAAACTATAATAATAATAGTAACAATTTGAAAATACCAGTTGTGTGCCAAGTGCTTTGCACACACTTCATATTATTTAACCCCTATGGCAAACCTTAAGAAGTGGGTATTAATAACCACTGCTTAACAGAAGAGAAAAAGGAGTCTCACAGAGACTCATAACTTGGCCCCAGTAAGACTACATATAGTAAATATCAAAGCCAGCACTTGAGTCTGATTCCAGTGCTCAAGGTTGGGGTGGCGCCAACAGCCAAGCACCTGTTTGTGTTTTCACCCCATTTCTGTCTTCTCCTTTCCTTCCAGGTCGTTCTGGATGTTGGTTGTGGAACAGGAATCCTGTCATTTTTTGCTGTACAGGCGGGAGCCAGGAGAGTCTATGCAGTTGAGGCCAGCTCAGTAGCACAATATGCTGAGGTAAGTGGTATTTTTACAGCTGCTACTCACTAACTCTCGTAAGCTTCAGGGGACTCAGTGATGGACTCTCCAGTAAGTAATTTAGAAGAATTTTTATTCCAGTTTGACTTTTTTCCCTATTGAGATGTTACTGGTGAAAGAGCCCACACTCACTGTAGTGATTGATATGAAAACAATTGTTTTTAAAGTGTCACAATATTGAAAATATAACACACCTTTCTCCCTATCTACTAGATGGAGAGAGAGAGAGAGAGAGAGAGAGAGAGAGAGACAGACATTGATGTGAGACACATTGATTGGTTGCCTCCTGAACAACCCCCAACCGCGGCTGGGGATCTAATCTGCAGCTGAGGTGCGTGCCCTTGACTGGGAATCGAATTTGAGACCGTTCGGTGCACAGTCTGATGCTCTAACCACTGAGCATACCAGCCAGAGTGGTGAATGGTTGTTTTTTTTTTTATCTTTAATGACCTGCCAAGGTGAGGAGCCAGATCTCCCTGGAGCTAGGTTTATTTTATTTATAAGTGCTGTACTGACAATAGCTGCACCACTCACTTTAAATTTTACTTTTGGTTTAAGGGGCTGCTGCTACATGGTTGATCTCAAACAGGTGTCTGCCTTTCAAGGAGCTTTTTCAGATTTTATGTTCTAATTGGAGGACAGGGAGATGCTTTGTTTTAAATATGGTGCTCTGTTATCATTATGAATTGTGTACAAACAGAAAATAAGTCAAAGTCAAGAGTCGGGTAATATCTGTGTATGATAACAACCCAGGCAAGCTGCCGAGTTTGGGGGTGTGCGTGTACTCGTGTGAACAGGACAGTGGCCTTGACATTCACACGTGAAAGAAGCCCGAATTTTAATGAGGGATAGATAGCGTGACAGAGAGAGAGGAAAACTTGGCTGCTGCTTCTGAAGGAGCACCGTGAAAATTCCCTCCGACCCTGCAGCACTGGTAGCTCTGATTGATACTTGGTTTGGGGTTGAGGGAAGAGAGCGGGACTGAGACAAGAAGCCCGGTGGGCATGCGTGGTAGAAAAGACTGCCAGGGCCTCATGGCTGGAGGGTCATTGCACTCTTTGTTCTTCTTTCAGCAAGTCTTGGATAAAAATTGTTTGGCCATTTGCTTCTTCAACAATTCTTGAGAGTCCTTTTTAGTAAATATTGGCTGCACACAAAAGAATATTTGTTAAATGTGTACAGTGTAAAGAATGACAATACAATGAATGTGTGCCCACACCTCTTTTAAGAAACAGGCTCTTGGCATTTCCATTTAAGGTCTGTGTGTTTTTTCCTGATCACTTCCCCTTCCTGCCACTACTTTGAATTTTTGTTTATCATTCTTTTGTTGTTTTTATAGTTTTCCCATATATGTTTCTGTCCCTAAAAACAAACCTATATGAACTTTCCAAAAATGGAATCTTAACATATGTGATCTTCTGCAACTGGCTTTTTTAAGTCCAACATTGTGTTCTTGAGGGTCATTTTGTCAGTGAATATAGCTGTTCTTTACCCATCTTCAATGCGGGATAGTGTTATGTTGTATGAAATGCCTCAAGCTGTTCGTCTACTGTGCTGTTGGCAGACCTTAGATAGCTTCCATTATAAACGTGTTGTTATTATGAATACTCTTGCATAGACTCCCACTGCCTCTTTGTCAGAGTTTCCTAGCATATTCACAACAGTACAATTGTTGGACCACAGGGTATGCATGCCTTCAGTTCTGCTCTGTGATGCCAAATTGTTTTCCAAAGCGGTGTGCCAATGTGCACTCCCTCCAGAAGTAAATGAGAGTGCCATTGTTCTGCAACTTTGTCAGCACTTGATATTGTCAGGCTGTGGATTTTGCCACTCGGTGTTGATGACGTGGTATTTGTGGTTTTGTTTGTACTTCCACTTATTAATGATTTTGATCATATTTGCAAAGTGTTTTGGCCATTTGTCCTTTCTCTTTCTGGAAATACCTGTCCCAGATTTTCACAATATTTTAAAAATCGTTTTCGTAATTTAAATTCATTTATAAGAATGATTTCTATAGTTGAATATTAATCCTATTTAGTTATATGGATAGAAAATATCCTCTCCCCGTTTGTACCTCACCTTTTTCTTCATGGTCCTAGTAAACTTTCAATATGGAATTCTAAATAAGAAAAGAGAAGAGGGAAAAATAAACTTATATAAAGAGAACCCCATAGTTAAAAACGTCTCTGCTTAGGTTTTAAAATATCTTAAAATGCATCCTTAAAGATGAGGAGTTGAGTGTAGAACTTTGTCTCAGGTGCTGCTCATTCACTTAATCATATCTACATTCAGTTGTGTCCATGATTCTGTTTGTTGGCACATATAAGAAAAACAGTAATGATTGAGGTCTACTCTGTATTCAGAGAGCTCTGTTCTAGTAAGAAACTGATCTTATCTCTTGCATCAGACATCCCTCCCTATCCCTACCCCACCCCAACCACCCCCAATAAAAGAGTGGTATAAAAAATTTAGGGATTTTCTTCCTCTCCTATAGTTTGTTTTTTTTCATATATTTTAATTTGGTTTGTGACACATTCGATATTTATTTCTAAAACTTTAAAATTCTAATATTCTTGATTGTAGTATTTTAAGGGAAGAGAGGAAGAAATTAACTAGATATGTCCTTGCATTCCCTAGCCCTAATTCTATCTCTATCCCCAGCAAATACTCTCAACAATCACCAGCACACCATGGAGGAGCCATGCTACAACTGTCTGTGTGATTGGTTTCTCCAAGAGAGTGCTCATTCTGATTAAACACATCGGCAGGGTTGTTGTCTTCTCGCAGAGTGAGGCTACCCTCGCGGACACACTCACCCACAGTGTGGCCGCTGTATAACTGTAAGGGCCTCTAGCAAGAAACCAGTCAATACAGAGATGAAGAAAAGGGAGCTAACTTAACATTTAAAACTTTTAAACTATTTAAAACTTCTTAAGCTGTTAAACTATTAAGAACTTGGAAATAGTTTCAAACGTAAAGATAAGTTGTAAAAGAAAAATATTTCAAAGGCTTCCCAAATTCCTTTGCCTAGATTCACCTGCTGTTCACATCTTACCCCATTTGCTTTATCATTTACTCTTGCTCCTCCATCACCACACACACACACACACACGCATACACACACACAGTTATACACACCTAGGTGTGTTTAAATACATTTCCATATTTGTAGCTAGTTATTAGAGATATGCACATACCGTTTTTCTGTGAGTCATTTATATAAAATATAACTTTATTTTTAAACATTCCAGTATGTATTTCCTAAAAATGAGGCTATTTTTTATGTATCCAAAAAATAACCTATTTTAAGGTGAAAAAGAAGCTGTACAGTGACTCATCCATCGAATCTTTCAGCATTACCAATCAGAATGTGTTGGGGAGGCCCCAGCATGAGTGGAGAGACTGTCCCCACGGGTGTTGAGGTGGGAAGACCCTCTACTTAACTGTCTCTGTTCTTGTGTGGTATTTCTAGACAGATCTGATTTGTAAAGCTTTACAAGTCAATGTCCTGGTGAATTCCAAAGCGCCATAGTGTTATTTTATCTTCGGTTTTACCTTCTGTAGAGGAGGTGTGTGTTGCTGTAATCTTTCTTCTCTGGGTACGTGAGGCAGCCTCGGGGCAGGGGTGGCTTTCCAGATGCTGCAGGGACTGCAAGGAGTCCCTTAAATTTCTGCTGGCAAGGCCCTTTTGCCTGGAGGCCTTCACTGAGTGTAGCCCTACGGACAAGCTCCTTAAAAATGCACTCGGGACCAAGGATGATGACAGTCTTCTCAAAGTGCGAATCTAATGACAGCTGGGTCCCTCTGGATGCACACTGTGGCCTGCGCGCCCCTCGCCGCCGCGGTGGGTGACGTGCGCTGATCCCTGCGGGCTGGGCCCTTCACCCTTGTGCGGGACCATCTGTACCAGCTCTCGGTTTCTGCTTCTCACACTGACACTCCCCGTACTATTGGTGGGTGGCAACGTGCGAGTGTGAACAGCCCACAAAAGAGACTCACTCTAAGAATAGGCTTTTCTAGCAGCTCAGCGTACAGTGCATGGTGCTCCTTCCGACCTTTTCGTTATGTGGTAATGGAAGCAGCAGACAGTTAATTCTTTCCTCTGGCGTCTTCATTAAATTGCTCAGAAAAGATAAATTGCAACAAGAAAGAAAAATGTACAAATTTAACTACCGTCGCCTGTCCCTGGGATTTTTCTCGCGCCAGGCTTCTGGGCTTTCAGTAAACAAGGACAGTTTCAAATGGCGTCGGATTCCATGTCAGTCGCATTCAGCAGCTCGGCCTGATTGTGTAAGGGCCAGCCCTCAGATGGCAGGGTGATGCCAGTGACTCCTTGTACGGGGGGCATGCACGTCCAGTCATTTTTGCAGAATGGTCGTGACCTTGCCTGGTGCAGCCCTGTGCTCTCGCCCTCGGCCCCCTTTGACATTTCGGAGTCAGTCATAAGAGATCATCCTTGTCTGAGGAACAGGGCAGAACGAAAGGTCTTCCATGCATTCCCAAGCTGTGAGCCTGCCCACGTCAACATGGCAACTATCTCTTGCTCTTTTTCTTTTTCCTACATATGAAATGTAAAGAGAAAGCCCCCACATCATACAGATATTCATCAAATGTATACACCTACAGAGTCATGGACGGGGTATTCCTTAATTTAAAATTGCACACAAATGCATGTTCTGTCTCTGCATCTAGGTGATAAACCCCTTGGAGGGCCAGGAGAATGAAAGACTAGGAGGGCGAGCCATCATGAATAGATTTATGTGTTGTGATCAGCATAAACTTACAGCAAAACTCTCTGACACTTAGATTTAACAATGTGCGTAATCATTTTGGGGCTCATTAGACTGTACTCATACACAGCCCTTATATATGACTCACTAGGATGAGTTTTAAGGAATTAGGCCAAGTACCCTGGGTCGTGGTAGAAATAAAAGCAGTTGGAATTGGATCTATTGTGGTCCTGCCTTTCTGGACCTGCT